CCCAGGTTCTCCAAGAAGAGCTTGCTGTTTCTCCTGCTGGTGCTTCAGGGACAAGGAAAATGTTTTTTTCTCTCTCTTTTCCAAAATTCTGACATCCTCATCTTAACTACTCATCTTCTCTGGCCAGGATATGGGTTAGCGCATGGAATTTCCAGGTCTCTGTGCCTTTTCTGTTTTCTGAGCTGGGGACAGGAAAGCCTAACCAAATAAACACAATGGGGCAGGCAGATGGTCTCCCCGACTACAGTTCTAATATCCCAGCTACAGCCAGAACCAGAACCTGCCTCCCAGGCAGCTCAACAGTAAGGATTTTTAGGAGAGGCCCCAGTAGTCAGCTCTTAACTTCAGGACACCAGGATTCGCAAATGACCCGAAGTGTTTGGTTATCCTGTTGACCCCTTTGTCTCTGGCCTGGAATAGTAGAAATTTAATCTTTCTTCAAAACTCCCAGTGAAGGAGATTCCACATTGTTCTTTCAAAATGAGTTCCAATGTTAAATCTGCCAGGGAGTGTTTTTGAATGTCTAATCTAAATGTCCCCTGCTGAAGAGGAGTCCATTCCCTCATATGCTGGCTGTTCCTTTCCACAGATTAGAAACTTTAGACATATGTGAGCTGCATTTATTATAGTCACTTGTGAACAGATCACCACATTATCACCTATAAATTATATGGGGAAGTGGCCAAGGCATGGCCAGGTTTTCAAGGAAGAGCAACCTCTCGGTTCCATGGCTGGCCATGGCATACCTCTAAGAGAAGACACAGCATCTTCATGCTAGTAGGTCTTCCGGTTTTCAGCACTTCAAAAATCCTCTGTGTGTGTGTACATGTTGGGGTGTGTGTGTGTGTGTGTGTGTGTGTGTGTGTGTGTGTGTTTGTGTGTGTGTGTATGTTTAAGACAGAAATTGTGTGTGTTTAAGACAGAAATGGATCATATGTGTTTAAGACAGAAATTGTGTAGCATGTGCAGAAAGGTAAGGAAATTTGGCACACACTTAAGTGGTGAAGACGAAGACCTCCCAGATGGAGCCTAAAGGCTGTGGTTTGAAATTTTGGTTTCCAAGCCACTAGCCTACTCCACAGGATGAGCAGGCCTGGTATTGTCTGGGTGGAAGCTCAGCATCCTATCTCAGGGATCTTGGATGTCCTGGAGAAAGAGGGAAGGGGGCAGATGGTGTAGAATTATTCAACTCAAGCTAAAGCCAAACTGGAAAGAGGAAGTGTTTAGATGGTATCACAAATCAATTGAGCAGAACAGTGTTGCTCCAAGCTCTTTCACTGTAGAGAATTTTTTAGTAAGATTGGCTGGCCCTGGGGTCTGGCCCTGTTCCAGTCTCCAATATGCTTTCCCACCTCTGTTGATGACAATACTGCAATCTTTTTTTTTTTTTTACCATTGAAATCACAATCCTGAAATGAAGATTTCTACAACTTTGCTGCGGGACTCAGGAGCAGAAAAGGTAGGGAATGGGGGAAAGAGAAGGGAAAAGGAAAGGGAAGAAATTTGTAGGGAAAGGGAACAAAAAAAGGGAAAAAGAGAAAAAAGACTAGGGAGAGATTTAAAGGAAGGAAAGAAAGAGAGGAGAAGGGAGGGTAGAAAAATGAGGCAGGAATGAAATTCAGTGGGAGAGCAGGGTTGCTGGGAGTGCAAGAGAGAAAATAAGAGGAGAAATAAAGATTGGAAAACACTGAGCACAGTGCCTGACACATAGCAGGTGTTCAATAAATGACATGTAGGAAAGTGCTATTATAATACCCTCAGCATTCTCCAGATAAAATTTGAGGCACATAGACTTTCAGTAATTTGCCCAAGGTCACACAGCTAAGATTCAAGCTCATTATCCTCACAACATGTGATCTCTACAAAGAGGAAAGGAAAGGAAAAAAAAAAAAAAAGGGCTGATAATAGGGTGTGATGTTGAAGAGATTAACAAATGAGTTGACCTATCTTGAACAAGTTCCTATCTTTCTCTTTAGGTCTGAGGCTCCCCATTAGCACCTTAGGGAGGCTGGCAGGGATTAGTAGCCTCAACTGGAGAGTACTGCCTCTTCAGTGGGTGTCAGAAATGTGTGGGAGCAGTTTGGGCTTTCAGAATGACTAGAATCCTATTTGATACAGAGTAGGCTGGTGCCAGGTATGTTAACTATATTCTACAGTGACAAAATTATTTTTCCCAAAATGTCAGCAGAATCCATGTTGAGAAACACTTATCTAGATGCTTGTAGATACTCTGAGAGATCTAACATAGTGGTTTCTTACAGGAAGAATAGGGATCCTATTGTTTCAGGAGCCCTGGAGTTTGGTGGGTCTAGGCCTCTGACCCTGTGGGGAGGCCTTCGTATGAGATGAACAAGACTGGACCAGAACGCTGAGATGGGATGCCACATGCTTACTCAGAGGTAGAGAAGGAGATGAGGATTTAGAGAACAACCAATTATCACCTTTCAAGGCTCCAAAGGTCTCAGGGCTCTGGGGAAGCAGTAAAGCATGGAGTTGATTCAATTCTTAAGGGCAACAGGGGTTTGAGGTGGGAGATGAACAGTTAGGGGGCTTTTCAAGGCCTGCCCCAGAAGATGGCATCATAGGCAACTTTTTGGAGGTCTGAAAACTACAAAGTAGTTTGTGCCAAAAGTCCAGTGGTTATTCTTAGCTTCTGGCTACCAGGCTGGCAGAGTTGGGAGAGGGCAGCTGGGGACGCTCACTCTCCTTTGCAGGGCAGTACTGGAAGGAACCACTGGCCTGTAGATGTTATTTTAAGACTCTTCTAGGTTAAAGGGCTGAAGAGGGGGAAAGGTCAATTCCTGTCCTGACTGGAAGGATTCTCTGTGGTGAGACTAACTCAAGGTCCTTGGGAAGATTTATCTGGCAAGCTCCATTCACAATGCCATCGAGGGACCTCATAAAGCCGACATAGAAAAGATTACCAAGCCTGGCTGAGGTGGGAAGATCATGAGGTCAGGAGCTCGAGACCAGCTTGGCTAACATGGTGAAGTCTCATCTCTACCAAATATACAAAAATTAGCCAGACATCGTGGCATGAGCTTGTAATCCCAGCTACTCAGGAGGCTGAGTCAGGAGAATTGTTTGAACCTGGGAGGCAGAGGTTGCAGTGAGCCAAGATCACACCACTGCCCTCCAGCCTGGATGACAGAGCAAAACTCTGTCTCGCGGGGGTAGGGGAAAGAAAAGAAAAGATTATCACTATTAAGGAAAGGATGAATCAGAAAGGAATTTTTTTTTTCCTTCTTGCCTGCTATGGGCCAGACATTCCACATTGTCAGTTCTATTTAGAAACTGTCAGTAAACTTAAGGGTCTTTCCTAAAGATGTTGATTAAGAAAATAGTAGAATTGAGATTTTAGTGGAGAAAAATGTAATTCCAAAATCTGAGCCACTGACCAAACTCATGATGTTATATAGAGCTGGTGGCAGGGCAGGTATTAATTAAACCTGCTTAAGAGAACAAAAATGGCAGGACCAAGGTCACACAGTCAGAGAGTGGTAGAGGTACTCCTTCGCATTAGTTACCACCACGAGGCAGAAGAGCTGGGATTGGCATGGGCATACGTTTGAATCTTGTCTTCAACAGGCACTAGCTCTGTGACTTTGGGTGAGTCACTTTATTTTGCTGAGCCTGACTTTCCCAGTCCATAAAAAACAAATAGTGTTATTTATAAAAAGGGGAGGTCAGGTCACCATGAGGACTCAGTGAAATAGGATTTAGAAAGTATCTAGAATGATCTTGGCACAAACCAGTTGCTCAGCAAATAGTGACTGGCAGTAGCCCTTGGTGGTAGCAAAAGAACCTAAAAAACTTCAGCCCTTAAAGCAGAGCCTTTCTGCCTCTTTTATATGTTGCTCAAAGTGAAGGGGAGGAATATTTCCATGTGCTTTAGAGATAAGCTGCAAAGCAGACCAGAAACATGACCAATATACCAGGATTTGTTCTTGGGTGGGAAAGGGGTGGTCTCAGCACCATCCTCCTTGCATCCTACCAGTTGGCTAGAAAGCCAGGGCAAAGCCACCTCATGCTGGGTTGGCTGGCTGGGGCATCCACTGCCACACCTGCAGGTCAAATGACCTAAATTTCACTGTCATCCCCATCACTATCACCACCAACCAGGTCTGGCCAAGCTGCTGTATTTTAGCGAGGTCTGTGCCCTAGGAGCGCTTACTCATTGAAAACCAGATCAGGAGCGAAGTAGAGCATCCTGGAATTGACATTGGTGAAGGACCGCCAGCCCATGGCAAACACCATGAGCCCCATCCAGGAGTACTGAATGACAGCCATCTGGTCGTCCACGTGTAAGTTGCGGAAGCCTGGAGAAGAAGAGGCAGAGGCACTGGTTAGTCTGGGTACTGACGGGCTAAGTCTGAGCTCTAGTTGGGCAGAGATGCTCTGGCATTTGGGCATCCCCTAAGGATCTCCAGGGACCATCCAGGTTGGCCACTAAGGGGTGGTGGGGAAAGGCACAAACTGTATGGTGAGGATAATATTGCTTACCCTCCCTACTTCACTGAGCTGCTCAAATGAGATAACAATGGAGACAAAAAGGGAGTCAGTTATAAGAGAAAAATAATCTAACACTTATTGACTGCTTACATGAGTGAACTCCTTTTTTCTTTTGATTTCTATTGGACTGCTTTTTTAAAAAAATAATTATACATACATGATAGTTGTATGTATTTATGGGGTATATGTAACTCTTTTCTAAGCACTTACATTATGTCATTTAAGCTTCACAACAATGAGTAAAGTAGGTACTATTATTATCTCTAACCTGTGAACCAGTACAAGTGAGTCAGAGAGAGATTAAGGAACTTGTCCAAGATCATATGGCTAGTAATTGGCAGACCAGGTTCTAAAGCAAAGCAGTCAGAGTCCAAGGCCTGTGTTCTCGATCACTCCACCTTTTTGAAGATGCAGTATAATAATCATTTCTCCCACATGAATAGCAGTTTTCACTTCACAAAGCTCTTTTCTAGCTATGATCTGGTTTGACCCTTCTAACAACCCTGGCAGACTGATATTACATACAGTGTATGGGGAGATGTCTTGACAGCCACTGCCTTCTATTCACCACTTTCAAATTTCCTCTCTTGTGTCCATCCCACTCTTTGCCTGGCACTTCCTTCCATTCTTTTATACTCAATAGGTACCTTGCTCCTACTAGTTTCCCACTCTACCACCATCCCCATCTTACTGCTATCATTATACACGAACAGACCCTTTATGACCTGCCTACCTAGACTGATCTCTTGCCCCTTGCCTACTCATATGCCTTTGTATCTCTATTATCTCTGCAAAGGCAGTTTCTTTTGCCTAGAATGCATTTCTCCTTCCCAAGCCTTTCATTTGGTAAACACCCACTCATCTTTCTAGTCTTCACTCAAAGGCTACCTCTTCTATGAAGCCTTTTCCAACTCATCTAAGAAGAAAAGGCTTAATGATTCTTCTTTTACCTTCTCATTGCACCTTGTGTAGCCCCACCCAATTACAGCACTCATTACATAGCACTGAAATCTATATGTGTGTGTGTGTATATATATATATATATATATATATATATATATATATATATAATGTCTCCCCCAAAAGACTTGGAGCTTCTTGAAGACAGGGACCATATCTTCTTATTCATCTTTGCCTCCCTAGTATATAATACAGTCCATGTATTTGAGTGGACACTTTAGAAATATTACTTAAATAAATGACCTAAAGACCCTCATTTTTTTTTCCTTTTGTAAAATGAGAATTAAAAGATCTCCAAATTGCCTCCCTTAAACTCAGAGAGCAGAGGGTCCCAGGTGCTACCTCCCAAATAATACACAGGTAGAACAGACATGGCCATGTTCTCCTGGAGGTTTTGAAACAGTGGGATGATTAAAGTTATAAAGGCATCACCTCAGAGCTCATCCCTACCAACACTCTTTTTCTCTTCTCGCCAACAAATCCATGATTATCTGAAATTTTGTCATCATACCTCATTAGGAATGCTTCCCCAAATTTAGATCAAACTTCTCACTTTCCTGTTGATGACCTCATTTAACTCTCACAATAATCCAAGAGGTTAGGTGATGTGACACTTATTTTACCAACAAGAAACCTGAGGGCCAGATAAATAAACTGACTTGCCCAAGGTCATATGGCTTATATGCAGCTGAATTAATACTAGAATCCTGGTGTTCTGATTCTCTTCTCCAGTGTTTTTTTTCTACTCCACTGCTTCTACTCCACTATCAAGGTCCCTAGTTTTTGTCAGTCACAGGCTCAGGTCTGAAGTCTACATTATCCAGACACATTGTTCTGCTTGGTTGGTCCCTGTCCATCCATATAGCCCCATTTCTCTTTACTTTTCTTTTAGATCATAAGCCGTTTAGATATTGGGGATTCTAGAGTCCCTCATTTTAGCAGTCTTAGCTCCCAGGCCTGTGCCTCCCACTTTCACTGTAATGACACACTGACAGACCAGCTGGATCCTCAGATCCAAGTATTTCCTGCCTGGAGCCCTTTCGTAGCACAGAATGCCTGGGACTGACCCTTCTCAGTAGGAAATAAAAAGCAGGGTCTAAGCATGTAGCAACCAAGGATCTCTTAGAGAAGAGGCCTGGGAGGTTGAACCCTGAACATTTTGGGTAGAGGCAGTGGGGAGCAAAGAAAGCGTTTTGCTGGTGAGCCTTGGTCTTTTGGTGGAGTGTGTGAACGTGAAGACACATGGAAGGATGAGAATTAAAACTGTACAGGTATTAAGGAAGTTGTCCATACTGCTTATTTTTCTCCCTAAAACGCCACAAAATTAACAAAGAGGAGAGAAAAGGGAAAGCTTAATTTGGCCATAATATTAATTAACAGTCCTTAATGAGAGCTGCTTAGCGCTCAAGCCCAGTAACTGTGCACATATCAGCAATGTGGCTGGCGAATCTCCCTATAGTCTAATCTGATTATAATACCTGACTCTGTTCTCTAATGCCCAATCTCTGAAGTAGCCTCCATGACTATTGAGGGATGACTGGAGGAAAGAGTAGCCTCAGCCGTACAGATTTCCTTAAGCATGCATTCACTCAATGCCCATTTGCCACTGTGTTAGGCTGTTCTGGAGAAACAGAGGAGTCATTCTCAGGTTTTGAAATACATTAAACAGGTTAAACAGTTTCTTTGAGACTATTTTCTCACTAGAATCCAATTGGCATTATAATTTTTTTCATGTGCAGCAGAAACTTGCAGTCTTGTGTCTAGTCTGGGAGAATGGGCTCAAAGAAAGGCCAGTTTGGAAATCTTTGCTGCTATAGTGCATCTTCCAGCCAAGGTCTTCAGAGAAGACAATTTCATCTTGGGGTCCACGCATGAGCTTCTAGGCAAGGCAGGTGGCAGCTTAAATTGAGTTGAGTGAAAGCAGTGGCTTAGCACTCAAGTCTCAAAACAATAAACCACCATTTACAGAGCATATACTACATTTCAGGCTACCTTACTAGGTGGTCTTTATGCATAATCTCTTTGTTGACAACAATTTGAAAGGTAGCAATTATTTTATCATCTTGCAAATGAGGACACAGAAGCACAGAGAAAACGTGATTTGCTGAAGGTCACAGAACTAGTCCATAGCTAGGATTCCAAACCAGATAAATTAGATTCTAAATATACTGTGCACACCCAGTCTATTCACCCACTCCAAATTAATAGTTATCATTTATTAATGTGCCTGGTGTGCTCTCATAGGCAATTTCCGTACATCATTACTGTCACAGAAAACTTACAACGAAATTTATCTTATTAGGTGCCTAGCACAGTGCATCTTACAGGTCAGGAACTCAATCTATTGAATTAGCAAATTACTTGAACTTATAGGTAATTATAGATAATATGAAGAACAGTTCTTATGAAAGTGGTAATTAGCTTTCTTTTGAAGCTATTCTTTTAAATGACTTGGAGTCGGAGATCTTTCAGTCTGACAAGCTATATAGTGAACTGATATTGGCTTGCAGATTTGTTAATGTAAGCAGTGCGGGGCTTTCTATCCTGGCGGTTGGGCCAGAGAAAACCCCACTGACCCCAAGTCATACAAATTCTTCTATAGTGATTTGCATTACGCTATTGCCAAGATAACCGATTTAGAAACCCCAAGGTCTAGATCAAGTTCTGGTTTCATGTGTTAAGTGACCAAATGGAGCAATTTAGTTAACCTGTTTGAGGATTGGCATGTGAGATGGAAATAATAGTTTCTGTGATTCATAGAATTGTTGTGAAGAGTAAGTGGGATCATATATATTAAAAAGTTCTGTTGCCTATAAAATGAGATAAGTGTTTGGAAACTGCTTGGGAAGATTCAACTTCGAATCTCTGTCAAACCCATGATATCAAAACATCTAGCTGAAAAGGTGATAAGAATTAAAGTAACCTTCTTGTTTTTCTTTTTTGTATCTTTTCCTCTCTGTGGGAACTCTCTGTTTTGGCACAGAGTATATCAAGTCAGAGTCCTTGGGTTTCCTTCCCAGTGATCTTACTGGCTAGTCAACCTCAGCTTCTCAAGCTGATAAGGTGTGAGAGATGGTTAGGGCTGTGACTGGGACCTGCGAATTGGAAATACAAATCTAAGGCTTGATAGCCAAAAGGCAATGTCTTCTAATGCAACAAGCCCACAGTATGACCCAAGTGGCCTTCAATGATTCCTTGGTCCATCACTGTAAAGCCCAGTGGGAGCCACAGAACTGCAGTGGTGCTACAGCCTGGTGGGGTGGAATAGAGAGGATGTGGAATCAGGAAAGAACCTGGGCTCAAGTTCTGGCCCTGTTATTTTCTGACCATGTAACTATAGGCCAATCACATAATTTTCAGAGCTTCCTTATTTGGTCTGTAAAATAGGAGAAAGAGTCTAACTTTATAGGATTCCTGTAAGAATCAATTCAGGTAGTACATACAAAATTGCTCTGTTTACTATAAATTTCTACATGAATGGCAGTTATTATTGAAAGGCAGGTTATTCGTTGACTCCACAAGAGAAGGTTTGGTTGTTGATGTTTCAGAAGAGTCTGTGAATCACAATTGCAGGTTTAGGAGAGACTTTAAGGAGCATATGCTTCACTGGTCTTCAAACTGTGTTCCTTGGAGCCCTAAGATTTTGCAACAGTGACCTGGGGCTTCCCTGGGATAGTGAGAAAGAGGCTGAACTGGTGAGGCCCAGGCCACAGATTCTGGCTTTAAATCAACCAGCTTCACTTGTATCTGTGTACAATTCTTTTGAGAAATAAAGCACTTGCCTGCTAAAGGAAAGTTTGTAAATCATTGGATAGAGGACCTCTAAGAATTCCTTAAGCTGTAACAGTTTAATAACCAGACTTGTTTAAACAACAGATGGCATAAGAAAGAAGTGATTGCCTCATCAGTGGGGAACTTCTGTTATCCAACTTCTGTTAGACCAACACTTAGTAATTATTTCACTATCACCTAATCTTTCCTCCCATTATGATTCCTTAGGTAGTTTAAAGTGCACAAAGTGTTCCTAGAAGCAAACATTGAAAACAGTCAATTTAGGCAAACCATGCTTTATGCATTATACAGACAGACAAACTGAGACCCAGAAGGGGAAGGGATCACATAATAAGTTACTAGCAGAGCTAAGAGTAGACCCGAAGTGTTCTGATTCCCAACCTCATGTTGTTTCTGCCATAATATATTATGAGAGTTCTCATGATATAGCTCCTGAAGGTGACATTAAAGACTGAATATCAGTCGGCTGGAGATTAGCTTTGGGTGAGCCTGTGAGTATATAGAAGAGCATCTTAAGGTATATATGGATATGTCTATGTGATTTGTGATTACGGGAAGATGTGTTGACCATGTCTGTGGGTTAAATGTGAAAGCATGACTGCTGTGCATCAATGTGAGCCACTCAGGATACCCTATAATGCTATCTTTCTCTTTGCTTTCTGAGTCTCAATTCCTGTATGTTTAAAGTGAGACTTATAACAATCCCTCTCCCATAGGGTTATGATGAAGACTGCCTGAGTTAATGGGCAGAAAACACTAGACATTGTAGCTGGCCCATAGGAGCATTTGCTAAATATGATCACTCTTATCTCATGCTCCCACTTCCCTTTTCCTTACCAGGCAAGGCCTTGGCCCACTTGACCACATGTACAAGCTGTCTCTCTCCCAGTTCATTGAGGCTAGACAGCAAGGCTGCAAAGGAGTCGGGTTGGTTGTTGTCGTGTCCAGCACACACCACACCTGGCTCAATGGCTTCCAGGACATTCAGAAAGATGGGCTGACATTCATAGCCTTCAATGTGTGACACTGTCAGCTTCTGGGTTGTCTCCTCATTGGGGCTAGTGGTGCTGGAAGCCTCTCCTTCCTCCTGTAGCTTAAGATTACCAAGTTTCTTCAGCTTCCGGGCTATTGGGAAGGAAGAGAAACTTGAATTTATCATCAGTGGTCAAAAACACAAAATGCAGCTGCCTCATTAGGAAAACTGCCCGAGCGAAGAAAATCATCATTCTCCCTGGTTACAGACTCTAAACTCCTTAAGGACAAGTGCTCATTCATCACTGGTTGAATGTATAATTCATCATCCCAAATCCCTGCTAAACACCAATTTTTCACATTTTGCTTTTTCCTCTGATCCTTGTGCCACACCAACCTAGCATGTCCTTGAATTCAGCTCTGCCTGAATGCAGCCTTCAGTATTCATACCTGGAACCTTTAATTAACTCATTTACTAATATATTAATGATTCATTCATTCATTCAGCAGACATCCATTGTTAGATCTTTGCTTCTGGGTGACAGAAAAGACACACGCCCTGGCCCAGTCTGGTAGAAGAGAAATAAATGGCCACAATCAATTCTGGAAAATGCTGCAATGGAGGCATCAACAAAAGAGGAAAACACTAATCTTTTTACATAGGTGGGTTTAGAAAACACTTTATATAGAAGATAGTATTTGACCTAGAATTTGAAGATTGATGAGGATTTCAACAGGGAAAGGTGGGTAGAAAGGGCATAAACAAAAGCACTGAGGAGTGTTTGGGGACCAGCTAGAGACTGGTATGGTTGAAGCATATATTGAATGTGTAGGAAAGTGGTTAATAATGAGGTTGAAAGCAAAGATGGTGCTTGATTTTAAAGGAGCATGTATATCATATTAAGAAGTTTGGCTGGGTAAGGTGGTTCATGCCTGTAATCCCAGCATTTTGGGAGGCTGAGATGGGATAAGTGCTTGAGGCCAGGAGCTCAAGATCAGCCTGAGCAATATAGCAAGACACTACACCATCTCCACAAAAAAATAGTAAAAACCTAAATTAGATGGGCCTGGTGGTGCACATCTGTAGTCTCAGCTACTCAGGAGGTGAAGGTGGAAGGATTGCTGAGCCCAGGACTTCCAGGCTGCCGTCAGCTATGATTGTGCCAATAATGCTCTAGCCTGATTGACATAGTAAAACTATGTCTAAAAATAAAAAACAAAGATAAAAAATAAGTTTGTGTTTTATCTTACAAGTGATAGACAAATACTGAATGTTGTAAATCAAAGGGGTGATGTACATGTGTCTATGTCTAGCATGTCTAGCAGGTTGCTAGGGAAAGAGATTAGAAATGGAGAATGACTAGATCTGTTCTTTGCGTCCCAGAATATAAAGTGACTTGGATTTTAATCTCTCTTTCTCTTTCTCTCTCTCTCTCTTTCTTTTTAACACACACACACACACACACATGCACATATATTTTGATAGCTAAAGCTCTTGGAGATGGAAAGGTTGCCAAGCACCTATATCAGTGTAAATCATCAAATACTAGATACACAGTGGTTAAGCATTCAAGCATCAAATGGGAATGGGGATTTTAAAAGTGGCCTTGAAGGTCCTTTCCATCCTCAGACTATCAAATTCTATTCTATAATTTTGGGATCAACATATGGTAATTTTCTGGTATTCCATTTCCCAGTGAATACACATAGTTACCCATAGTTGAACATGCACTATAACATACATACTGATTTTTTTTCTTTTTAGCAAAAGGGAGAGGGAAGGTGAAGGGCTGAAATTCTCAATAGCATCAAACAAATGAGAGAATCTTTCTGCCTCTAACATCAGTCTGTAAAATGGGAACCATGTTAGGAGATAGCCATTGGAGAGAATGATATAAATAACATTATTTAAGATAACCACAATAATGTGAAACTCAAACCTTAAGAACCATCTTCCCCATGTGCTCTCACCCACACACAATTTAGAGGTCCTAAGGCATCCTGATGTTTACTTTGTGCTATTTTTTCCAGTATTTATATCGACAGAAATATAAATAATTGAAAAGGTTGTAATTCTGAGGTCTAGCATAAGCAGTTGCACCGAGACAGATCATAAACCACTTTATCTCTAATCCCTTTAAAATAATAATAAATAAGAAAGGTAGAAACCAAAGAGAGAAGTTGATTGCTCAATTTAAATGGATAAATACAACAAAAACTGCAGCTCATCTGTTTCTGGTCCCTGTGGAAAAAGGTACAACCTGGAACTGACTGTTTTTTAGTTTTTATTTATTTTTTGAGACAGGATCTCCCTCTGTCACCCAAGCTGGAGAGCAGTGGCATGATCGAAGCTCACTGCAGCCTAAACTTCCTGGGCTCAATCAATCTTCCTTCCTCAGTCTCCCAAATAGCTGGGACCAGAAGCATACGCTACCACTCCCAGTTAACATTTTTTTTTGTAGAGATGAGATCTCATTATGTCGCACAGGCTGGTCTCAAACTCTGGCCTTAAGCAATCCTCCTATTTTAACCTCCCAAAGTGCTGGGATTACAGGCGTGAGCCACCACACCTAGTCTGGAACTGACTTTTAGTTCTAATTAGAAAAATAAGTCCTTTAATGCAGACTCCACTCATGGTGTTACTCAATAAATCACTGCAAGAATGGATTACATGTTTGGATCAACAACTAGGATAGGGAATAGGAAAATGGTGGAGTTGGTGTTGCAAGAGGAACACAGAAGAACTCAGGGGAAAATAACAAGGAAGCCTAGAAAACCAATCCTGAGTGTAAGATGACCTTGTCCAACAATCATTTCTGCAGGACTTGTGCACAGCCAGTAATAAGGAGATATGCACATCCACTGACAACTCCCATATCTCACCAAAGACACAGGCTGGAAGGTATGATCTGGGCCAAGGCCACCTTCTTGAGTTAGAGGCCTGGCCCCCACAATATCTTGTCACTTGGTGAACTTATTGCAAACATGAGTTTTTTTACTCAGCTCCATATACTGGTGGTGCCAAAAGGATCTGCTCCCCTGCCATTAAGTTCCTACAGAAAGACCTCATCTTCTCCGTCACTGGACTTTTCTAGTTTTGAGCTCAGGAGTTGCCAGACCATTTAGTCCTCTTAAGGGTAACTACTATTTTTTTCAGGGCTTTCTGTGTGCCTCACTTCATCATATTACATCATTTAATTCCACATGATCTTAGAAGGTTAAAGATATTTCTTATCTTTATTTTACAAATGAATAAACTGAGGTAACACAGCTATCAAAAAAGTGAGAATCCAATAATCTGAACCTCATCTTCTGATTACAAGCCCATATTCTCTCTACTGCCTCCCCAAGAAATCTGAAGCCCTGAACCCTACTTCTAATTCAAAAGCAGAATTGAGGAGTAAAGCCAGGGTTATATCTTCCCTGCCTCCCTTCTTCACCTTTGACTCCAAACTTCATAACTAGTGTTAGATACAGAAGGGAAGAGACTGGAGGCTATGAGAATACTCCAGTCATCTGCCCAAACTGAAATAGATTTGGGACACTATAGTGACTTAACGATTTTCAGCATGATAAAATAGGAAGGGTTCTTAGAAATTATCTTATCCAATGGTGGCAGATCCAAAGACCTTCAGGGTTTACATAGGCAATGCAGTAGGGTGTGTGTGCATGTGTATGTGGGAGAATGGTTAGTGCTCTGGTGAACTGGAATAAATGCCTTACTATGCCTGCAAGCATGTATACACACACCTAGAGGGCTTTAATAGATTTTAAAAATCCCTGAAACTTGTGCATCCCACAGTTGAATTCAGTCCATAGCCACCATGTTTAGACATTTGATGTTAGTTAGTTTAACCTTTCAAGTTAAAGATGGGGAGGCTAAAGCAAGAGGGGGCAAGGTCACCTAGTGGCAAAGCTGAGATTAGAGCCAGGGCTCTAATTCCCAATCCAGGATTCCCGATGTTATATTGACTCTCTTTTTGACTGACTTATTCCTGCTATATCTCAGTACGTGTCTCTCTCAGATCTTTCTACACTTGTACTGTTCAATATAGTAGCTAAGTAGCCACATGTGGGCTATTTAAGTTTAGATAAATTATTAAACTATAAAATAAAAAGCAAAAAATTTTAAAAGTTAAATTAATTAAAACATTAAATAATTAAAAATATATAATCCCTCAGTTTCACCAGCCACATTTCCAGTGTTCAAAAGCTACATGTAGTTACCAGCTGTATTATATTGGACAACATGAGATATAGAAGATTTTCATCATCTCAGAAAGTTCCATTGAATAATGCTGTGAATGTACACTGTTCTCTGGGGCAGCTTTCCCATTTGTAATACCCCACTAAAGCTATTGATAATGAAGAAATGAATACAAATGGATTATACACAGATGATTCCATGGACTTTTAAAAAAAAAAAGGTGGAAGAGACACACAGAGCAATTGGTGACAGTGAGATCAGTGAGATATAATCTGTTACCTCGACTTGACTCAGATCTCCCTGGGATCATGACTCGTGAACCTAAGCAAACTCATTACAAGTAAGATCAATATGTGCAGAGACTGTGGGGAGAATCCATCAAGATGAAATAATTCCCCTTTCTCCATATAGTGCCAATGAGAACTTGGCTGGTATTCTCACATCCTCCTCCCCAGGCCTATATGGCATCTGCTTAAGGAACAGAAGCTGCATTCCCACTTGCCTCCAGGACCCAGGTAGTGTGCTTGTCCCTATGACCACAGTGGCTCTAGCTGCACCAGGTGTTCTGGCTTCTCTGCCTAAAGAGAGTGACTATACTAAAGGTAATTGAAATCGGACTCCACTCATTCTGCCAGGGGATCCTACGTTCTCTCTGTAGCACAGGCCAGGATATTGCTAGACGGCTTGGAATTCTGGACAATGAGGCTTTCTAGTTTCAGCTATTACTCATTGTCCAAGGACTTGTTTTCTTCCATGAAGGCCACCCCTATTCCTCTCCTGCCCTCTGCACCTGAGGCCCAGAGTCAAATCTAATTATTCCATATAAAATACAGGTCAGACTGTCACTGTGTCAAGGCAGAGACTCATTGGCTTACTTAAATTTAGTGATAAAGCAAGGAAAAGGGGGACAGTAGAAGTGGATAGTTTTAATAGTATGTGAGTTGCT